TTAAAACAATTTTGTAAGTGCGAGTTGATCGTGCGTAAAATACAGACGAGATTTAGAACAATCAACACAGAATTTCAAAAGGAAATCGCAAGGAAGTTACTTCAAAGTGTTAAACTATAAAATACCTATTTTCAAGATAACAGATGATTGTAGCCCTAAACAAGATATTGGGAGGGGACTATATTTTTGTGGACATTTTTTATCCCTTTCCCATTAATCTTTAAGTATATATGAATAATTTTGTAGTACATAACTTAAAAGTGGAATATAAAGAATAGAAATATTTCTTTAATTTCGAAATTAATAAATTACTAATTATTAATTGTTTAACCATTTAAATTGTGGCCAGATGCCTTGGAGAGCTCCTTCTCAAAACGTCATACAAAATTCTTACATTTAAGAAAAGGGGGAAATCGGGGATTGACCATATTTATGGAAATATGTTTAATGACATTTCATTTTCTATTTTTGAAATAACAAAAAGCATATTTCTGGTCGAGGCACAAATAAAATTGCCGCTTTCCTATAAAAAATCGTCTCAGCTACTGTAGCTGTGAGACGAAGAAATGCTCAACCAAGCGAAGTTTACTGTGAAGGGAAGGTGGCACGTTCGCCATATCTCTCTCTTATCCCCCAAGTGAGGGAATTCAACAGACCCAAACATAGGAAGAGGGGGGAACTGTTAGATAGCCGGCGAAGTGGGACAGTCGACCCAACCTTGTTGAAAACAGTGTCGACCTTGTTGAGAACAGTGTCGTTAGTTACAGGAGAAAATATGTGAATACAAAATGAAGGCGTAGGACGACATTTCACATTAATCTAACACATTTTCACAAACTGAATAAAACTTAGGATATCTGTACCGTAAGATCTTACTAAATTACCCAATGGGTTTCCAATTGGGTAATATAGTAATTCCTCACCTGAACGGTCTCGTTTGCCAATTTTCTAATTTCGTAGTGTAATCAGATGCTTACAACACATGTCGTAAATAACTATTACACTGTCATAATATTGTTTCCCTTATTAATAAATTACCTATTGTTGTTGACTATTTTTAACATGTTAAAACTGTCTAAAGAAAAAAAACAACTAACATTCACTTTTAATTTTTTTTTATTAACCGTTGAGACCAATGAAATATTTCATTGACCTATCGCTGTCATGTCACTGGCAGTAAGATTAGAAAAAAATCAACTAATGTAAGAAACATTAACAATTTTCAAACTTCGTTACACTCTTAAATTTGAGTCAAGATCTCTTTAATTTCAATTATATTTGTTTGGTAAATCAAAGAAAAGTAGGTATTCCTCAAATAAATTAAATAGCTTTTTTTTAAATATATACGAAAGTAAGCCAATACATATCTGCGCTTCTGTTCAAATTAAACGTTGTCTGCTTATATTACACCATGCCAAGCCTCGCTTCCATAATCATCTTTGAGCACTGAAATTCTGATACTGTCTACGCTATATACAAGAATTTTTCTTCATACAATTGATAAATGTCTTATCACTGTGTGAGGGGCGAGGAGCGAGGGGCGAGTGGCCACGAGGACAGTGAGGGAGGGCGCCTGGAGCCGCGGGGGTCAAAGGCCCTTATTGTCGCCCGCGGCCTCGTCCGTCACTGCTAATTAGTGACACCGCGCGGCCGCCTGCGGTCCTTCGCCCCCTCCCCCCCCTCCCCTCCCAACCACGCCTGATCGACGAGCGGCGGGCACTGTCAGCTTCACACTTGTCATTCTCTCCGCCTTACAAGAGCCTAACCTCAAGAGGCAAATTTTCATTGCCAATGCCATTTTGAAATGTATTCCACTTACACGTTTACGAATACACAAGTTGTAATAGTTGAAATTGTCAATAAAATACACAAATTTACATTATAGTTCAATAATTAAGAAAATAAACATTAAATCATCACACTCAAATCGTGTAATAAACAATTTCACATGAAATTAGCGAAAATAGAGACAATGCAGAGGTTGAGGCACACATCATTCACACCGTCACAACGAGGGGCAATAAAGTACAATGGTTTAGGGTTGGAGAAAAAAAAGACTGTTGAACAAATGTAGTTTAGAGAAAATAATTAACCCCTGTTCTGAGGAAATCAAGACGGGAATGTTCTGAGGAAATGTAGATGCGCGAAGTATACACTAGATAGTAACATTCACTGGATAATTCAAATATCGGATATGGCTGATCTATCCCTTTCTTCACAGAATGTTCTTCCAACTCATAGCTCGTACTTTACAGGGTCACATTGCTTTCCAAAACGCACAAGATGAATAAAATGTTAAAAACTATCCGCAAGTCGAATATCAAATCAAATAATTCAATGTGCTTTATACTACTTGAAAAACGTTTCAAATTAAAATTCAATACAATATTTTACCACGATAAAATATGTGACAGAACAGTGTGAATTTCACCCCCTCAATTTCACGCAGTTCAATCACAACATAAATATGCATTAGAATAAGCAATCGTTCCAGTCGATCGATTCAAGCGAACGTCCCACCTCAGTTTGAACGACCTCCATCAGCTATTGAAAACGTTGGAGCTTCACATTTTTTCACTACACGATATGGTTCTTGCCTTGCACCGCAAGATTCGTCATGCCATTAATACAATATTTTTCAGAATAATGAAGATTCAGGATAAAAAGAACAATGTGTGTTATAATGTAATCCAATTTTATATGGTATTAGCTGATATATTCAAGAGTCGCCTGAGTTGTTTATCACAGTCATCTATTAGAAACGCAAATGATATCCATCTACAGGGTAAAATGAAATATAGTTAGAAACGATATATTTTAGGAATTCCTATAAATGCGAAATGTAACCAAACGCTCCGTGAACGGGTAATTGTATGTTAGATGGTCGGTGCAGTGTATTTATATTGGTTTTCAAACCGAAACAAAATGCGAAATTGAACGTAAAATGCGAAATTAAGAATAAAGTACAAAATGGAGACGAGTCTGCAATATTGATAAACTGCATTCTACGGCTTCCTCGGCGTTCGCTTTCCCATTGTTCAAATTCACAGAAAACGTCGGAAACGAAACATATCTGACGCAAGGTATCTAGAATACATGTAGAATATATAGAGGTAGACGTTTCGACAGAACACTTTCTTTCTGCTATCCGTAATATAACAAGAATAATGTTCGTTCACAAAAACCTTATTATGATACAAAAACAAGATGATATACTATTTAGCATCCAGATGCTTGTTTTGTCAGTAATTACACTGCAGCCAAACGCAATAGTCCGCCGTATTGGTAAGGATTCAAATAAAACTTTCTGAATGTATGTAGCTGACTATAATACGGAATGTGATACCGTATTACGTACGTAATTGTTTCTTTAGAACTGCTTCAAGGAGTGTAGATGCAGACCAAGAAAAAAATACCATTGTGATCGATTGATGATTTCGGGCGCATCAACGGCTAAGGTCATTATTCCCGTAAGTGTAGTGTATTTCTCTCTCGGAAGGTGGCGGTAGCCAACACCAGCTGCATGGTGAGATCCGGCGCCGACCTACGGGGATTTTTCTCCCATTTTAATTGGCCAATTCCCCAGGAAAGCTTTGCGAAGATTCGTACGTGAAATAAAAACGCGTTAGCGAAATGACGAAGGAATTACGAATTACAAAATCGCCCACACACACACATTAACTGCATGGAGAGCGCGGGCGCACGCCCCGAAGCGAGATCGTCCCATGATCCCCGCGTCCAGAGCGACAACGTGACGAGAAGCGCAAATTACACGCGTGTACACCGGCGGTACAGGTGTTCGTGGCGAGCGCTTTCGTGCATCCCAAACCCAGCGTGTAAGTACGCTTAACAAAACGCACCGGCACCGGCACGAGCGCAGCTGCGGATCATCGAAACGTCACGCCGCTCTACCGCCGCCGCCTGTCCGCCACGCCGTCGAGGCAGAGCGCGTTCTAAAAAAAACATACAGCGCCGCTCGCGATTTATTCCTGTGTACATGGAAATGCCATTAACACGACATGCGGGGGGCGCGGGCGTACGCTGTGACGTGCGGGGGCGGTGACGCTCATGGCAACAGCGGCGGTGGGAGTTGAGCTCCCGGGATGGGCTGGTGGGGTGGAGAAGGCGACGAGGGAGCGGAAGTGATGTTAGCATAAAGGTAGCACAAGGCGCAACAGTAGGTGGATGGAAATACAAGTGGACAGGAAGCAGTCAGCAAGGGTGAAAACGCTACGGAAGAGAAAAAAAAAATTCTCCCAAAGAACGGAATGTTCCGAGAGGAGTGTGAGGACAGACAGGTAAGTAAAAACGAGCGGAAATGCGACACACATCATAACTTTTCCTCCTCTGAGTGTCGCTGCTATTCAACTTTTCTACACTCAATAACTAATCTTTCTTTGGTGCAATATATATTCAAATATCTAAAATTGATGGAAACTTAGTATTGAGAAATATCTCTGGTATGTGGTGCAGGTTCAAAAATAAATTTGAATTTTGGAACTTTTAAAATTTCATTTTTCAAGTTTCATTTTTTACCCCTTTCAGGCCAGACCCTCTGTTGTCAATTCAAAAAACCAATAAAGAATTTTAATTTTTGAGGATCTCCTGAACTACACGACTAAATCTTATTGCTGGCGTTTTCACCACGTTTTAGCTCAAAAGTTATAATATGAGAGATATATATTCATCCATCCATGTAAACAGGTAGACACACAGAAAGGCATCCCGATTTTCAGGTACAAAATTGCCTGTATCACCTCACCACGTACACAAATCTTAACCATCTTTGGAAAATAATATATAGACCTGAACCGTGACGTGTGGACGAAGTTAAGAGCTGAAAATAACTCTGAAAACGTGTTCTTAGGACCACAAATCCGCGATCGTACTGCTGACGTCATTCCAATATCTAGTATTTCTTCCCTATAGTATCAATAGTTATAATACGAAATATAACTATACTAATGGTACAGAATGATAAAAATACTACAGTAATGCAGGTACGAAGAGACCGCTTATCGAGAAGAACGCGTACCAGTCCAGTGGAGGGCGGTGGGCATGAGCAGGGCCACCGAGGGCGGGAGGGCGGCGATGACGGCCGTATGTCCGGTTCGGTGTGTTACCTCGCGCATTTGCATGGCATATCCCTTTGTGGGGGAGCGCACAAACGAGCCAGTGCGGCGGCGTGTGGGTGGGTGGGCTCGGACCGGTTGCCCGGGAAGGGCGCGTGCACAGCACAATTAAACGCGGGGGCGCCAAATGGAGAGAGCAGTGTGCGCGGGGTTGGAGGCGAGGTGGCGGTGGGCAGAGCGGGCGGAGCGAACTGATCGGGGCGGGCGGGCAGGGGTGGAGCGGGGGAAAGAGTCACGGACGGGTGAGCAGAGAGGGATCAAAAGAGTCGTGGCGGCGGGGCGGGGCGGCGAGAGGGCGGCGGGGCGGGCGGCGGCAGCGGGGCGGCGGCAGGCCGGGCGAGAGGGGCGGGCGGGGCGGCATGCCGGCCGGCCGAGAGGGGCGGGGCGGGGCGGGGGCGGGGTCGGCGGGCGGCCTGCGAGATGGGCGGGCGGGCGGCCTGGCGAGAGGGCGGGGCGGGCGGGCGGCGGCCGACGAGGGCGGGGCGGGGCGGGCCAGAGGCGGGGGCGCGGGCGCGGGCGGGCCGGGGCGGGGCGAGCGGGCGTTCGCTTTGTCCACCGGCCGAACCTGCGCGGGTCATCACGTGTGCGTACTCACAAACGGACTTTCCTGGCATGGAGAATACCTGCTACTGAGAATGAAGTTAGGGAATGCAGCAGATGGACCGATTCACGATAACAACAAAGAAGAAAGAATAAATCACGGTGAGAGCAAGTGAAAATAGGATGGGTCCTCCGAGCTTTCGATACTTTGATAATGGGGTGGTACCAACAACAGAGGTATACTTTGGGTTATTAGAGAGTTTTGCATAGTTTCAAGCATCTTAGCTTTTACCACTCTCTGCCTCTACGCATGCGCCAACTCGAAGTGAGACTGGAGGATACTATTCCACCGCATTAGTGGGCGATGTATATCAAAAACCAAACGATCACTCGATCAGGCTATTTGGAATTTGTTTCCAACTGTGGCGGCAGAAGGTGCTACTCGTACTATGTCAATATTCCCTTGATGTAACATCATGTTTGAGGCAGTAATCTGTAAAAATAACTAACTGTATGTGCGATATTAGATTTATTAATTATATAATAACATAATTATATATTCAGATCAGCTGTTGATGGGCAGATTTACTCCTACAAATGCGAATCAATAGGTTACGGGAATTTAATCATACTCCGCCCCACAGTTAAGAACTACTTCGATTCTGAAGAAGAATAACAATAACATCTTTTCAACTCTTAAACTTTACAATATAGATCGAACGAAAACATCGCATTTACTATTTTCTTCCCTGAACATACCACCTTTTTACACTAAGTCTACTTTATTTTTTAACCACTTGGACGTCTTCTTCATAATATTGTTTAAGGGTTAATGCTTCCTCGTATTTCAGCTAACCTCACCTATTCAAGCCCCGAAAATAAATAATATGAAACACATCCAGAAAGTAAGGTTTCTAGGTCGTCAAGAAAAAAAACACCACTCTATGGAAATACTTCGTTGTAGCAGATACAGCGCACTTAAAAGTATTTGCTCACATAACCACCACCAGAATTAAGACAGTTGTCATACCGTGGAATCAGCATTTGAATCTCTGCGTCGTATACATCTGCTACCTGGAAGAGGCACCAGTTTTCGACAACCGTCTGTAACTCTGCGTCACTGTGAAACGCATAATTTTGACCGTACACGAATTTCTTGAGCTGTAAGCGACGTATGATACTCAGAGCACACGTTGAAATCCCGCATGGTAGCGCCTGGTCACGCACGGTTCAACCCACACGATATCTTCTGCGGCATTTCCCTTGGGAGTTGCTTGACCATCCACCCTATAGTCCGGGTCACGCACTTGTCCCCAGAGTTTCCACTTTTTTTTCTTTTCTTACACCTCAAGAAATTCCTGACCGGTCACCATTACACGCTTCACGAGTTCCGATCCCTGTCATACTCTGGTACCTAGCCGAGGCGGTAGACTTCTACACCAACACAGGAAATACAAATGTTAATCGCGCGAAATGACTAATATCTCTGTTGGCTGGGAGTGGGCATGGGCCTGGGTCTGGGCCTGTGGCTGGCGCAGAGGCGAGCGCCGGAACTGCGGAGACGCGCCGGGACACGAGGCTGGCGGCGCGCCAGGCGGCGTCGGGGGGCCGTCGCTTTGTGCTGCTGCCGCTGGCCACGTAAGGACCTCGTCTCGCCCCGCCCCGTTCCGCTCCGCTCCGCCGTGTTTTACTTCTCCAACACTCGCTTCCCCTTCCCTTCTCGGGACAAGGGAAAATTTGCGAATATTTTGTTACTGCAGTCTTTTGCTACCGTCGGCCTCACACGTGCGGCCTGGGTGTTGAGGGATGTCCATGTTGCAATGGAATGGCATGCGTTGTAGTGTGACAAGTAATGGGTTTGAAAATGGAAGACTTCGTAGGGAGAAAAACGGCGGAATAAATAGTAATAATAATGATGATAATAATAATAATAATAATAATAATAGTAATAATAATAAACATGACAAAACCTATTGTGAATTTCCACTGCTGAACACAACTAAGACCTCACGCAGAGTTCAGCATTCCAACACTTGTACTCCGAGATACAAATTACGCGAAATGAAATTTCTAAATTAATACCAAATATTCCAAATATTTATGTCTAAAAAGTATTTTTGGTGTATATTTGAAGTGAATTTCAGTTTTCGGCTTTTAACTTCTAATCCAATTTTTTGAGCATATATGCACTTATTTACAAGTTTTACGCCACAAAATACGAGTCCACCTTATAAGAACTACTGACACCTCTAATGTACCTAATTGCTTGAACGTAGAGGAATATAAAAATGCAACTAAAGCACATTGCAGAATATCAGTCTTCTCGGAACACCTGAGGGTGAGTCACAAATAGCGATGCACTCAACTATCGAGGGAAAGCGAAAGACCATTCCTAAAACCTACCACGATAATAAATGTATTGGTACGTACCATCAGTCATCTGGCTATTGTGTTATTGTTATGCTCTCTTACCTAAAAACAAAAACACAAATGAATTATAATAAATTCCAATACTCATGAAAATTATCAACGCTAAGAAAGAATATATCATTAAACACTCGATTGGAAAATTTAAGAAATGTAATAAAAAGTTAAAATGTGTTTAAAATGTAAGATTACGAGCTGAAATTTGTTAAAGAGTTCTACATAGAAAGATTCATATGATATGCCAAGCGAGCCGCGAAAAAATATTAATTCGACACGAACAACAAAAAATGCTTCACATTTTACGCAGGAACCGCACGCCCGTTTCTAAATCAAAAAATATCAGCGGTCTCACATTTCGCGCTCTGCTGACGCAGATATCAAAATGACAGGAAATATTTCCAGCCCCAAAAAATATTGCGCTTCGAATTTTACGAACGAATGTCAAGCATACAAAATTTTCTGATGTAGCATTAAAAGCTTGGAATCTCGTCGCAAAAAATGTACTCCCGTAGAAAGATCGATTTTTAGACACCCTAAAATAAATATCAAATGCTTTTTAAAATGGATAAAAAATTAGTAAATGACAAACAAATTACAGGTGAATGAAGATTTTGTACAAAAATATTTCAATTATGAATTACCAGATTCATTAATATTTCTATTCCTAGCGGATTTGTGAGGTTCAGGAGATAGAGTCTGTAACATTTCAGTTTTCGTGGACGTTTGTAAGAAAATGTTAATTCGACGCAAAATCTCAATCCGACGCAAATCAAATACACCAATCATTCCTCTAACAGTTTGAAAAAAAGGGTTGTCGATCAGCAACCAACCACAAGCGTTGTTACAGTTCCCAACTCCACCATCTCCGTCGCCCGGTTTTCTTCTTGATTGCCCAATAGATCCAGACGATTAAGTGCAGCGCGCCACCAGCAGCTCAGCAACACAACGCTGCGGTGCTGGAAGTAAGGCACGATTTGCTCCCATTTAAACGTTCTTCAAAGCACTTCAAGGACACGAGCAGGAAGGAGAGGAGGACGTTTTCATCAAATCGGGAGCCCCGATACCCAAAATTTAAGTCCTAACAAAGTTCCAGATTGGATGACAGTATCTCCCTCTCCGTCCAGCTCGTGACCTTGAAGTGCCACTCCGTTTAAATTGAAGTATAAAGGGGAGGGGGTGTTCGCCGGCCACCATGTTCGATTTTCAGTTGACAGATTGGGCAGATAAGGGTAGATAGCGTAAACGCAGCTTTGCATCTTTTAACATTGATTATAAGTAAAATAACCATATATCACCTCGTGTCAACACTATTATTTTAAAGGGTACAGACATCATTCAAATATGTCTTTGAATTAACGAATTAAAAAAGGTACGAAACAAACTAGTACGAAATAAACTAGAAGTGTTTAGAAATGTTTGTTTCTATATAAATTACGGATGTTTCCACTACACATTTTTATTTCAATATAATTTTCGATACCAACAAAAGAAATGAAAAGCAACCATTTTCTTATAAGTGTAGATTGCAACATACTTAAGTTTTTGACTTTTGGATTTTTTTATCGAATGCACCCCTATTAAAAACAATGGTACTCCTAGTGCACGTACGCACATGCATTATTTCAAACTTTTGCAACATTTCGAACATTTCGTGATCAACGAAAATGAGTCACGTGCCGTATTATTTAAGTGTTCTTTGCTGTATATGTAAAAGTCCTTGAAGCGTCAAGTAAAGTCCCTCAAAAAATAAAAATTCAAGACATTATCGAGATCGATCGGGGAATATCGATTTTGGTACAAAACCGAATGTTTATCTGCTAGCGTTGTCACAGTCATACCGACCGACCCGACAGGCACACAGACAAGACAGACAAACACACAGGCTGGCTGGCTGACACACAGACAGGCACGCAGGTAGGCGGGCAGGTAGGTAGGCAGACAGACAGACTGGCAGTAAACCATATTTTGCGAAGTAGGACCGATATATCGTACTATACCAATTTTTCAATATCGAGAGACAACAACACATTATGACTGCACAACGTGTTACAAGAAGTAATTCACTATATAAAAGAAGAAAAATGAGTCCTGTGCTATATTTTAAGTGATCTTTACTCTAAATATTACCTGTTCTTATGACCATATTAAGTTCACTTTTTATGCACTTTTATGGTATTATTTTCCGGTATAAGAGATCTACAATACGATTTTTTCCTGACGCAAAATCG